TCTGTTTTAAACACCCCCCAACACAGACATAATATCTAGGGCAGCAACTGATTTTTCAGAAAAAATATTTCAGGATCCAGCACATGAATCACTGATTTGACATCATATGGATGCACCCAGAATAGAACCTACATGGTGAAGTGTTTTATACAGAACTTCAGCACCTGCACCACAAGGTGTGTTACTTAAGCTCTTACGGGATGCATTGGCACTATCTGAGGAATTCTATATATACCAGGATTTTGTACAGATGAGAAGATGTTGAAATGAATGATTTCTATGCCAACTGTGTGCTGGGTTATGTGTGGAGTTGGGTGTCTTGTCCACTAAAATGTTTTGACAGAGAAAGCCCTACTGAAGAATGGTGAGCACCTTTTAGATCTAGCTTAGATCTAATTCATTCTCCATGCAGAAATTATACGCTACTTCTTTATTTTCAATTTTCTGTTTTTCCTTTTTCATGATTTTATTATTGAACTTCTATAAATACATCTTGGTCTCTGTAACTTTTATGCCTTAACATAAATCTGTGAACTTCAAAAAGGGAAGCAGTAAACATTCTGAAAGGCCAGCTGGGAAAGTGTGAAAAGAGAACTACAGGCCAAGTATCTATCTGGCTATATGAACCTTCCTCCAGGGACTTCCCCAACAGAACTGCCCTAGGTTGGGTCTGGGAGTGGGAACGGGACATTAGCACTAGAAGGGACAGGAAGGAAGGCAGGAGAAGAGCAGAGAAGGGAATTTTGTTTCTGGGTCAACATCTTGGGCTTTTGAGTTTATCCTCTATAGAAATTTATTAACAAGATTCTTCAGGTCCCAATTCTAGCCATAAAACACCTGTTTGAAAAAGATTAGAATTGGGCTCCTGCCTCCCTCTGCGTGCACCAAGGTGAGGAGCAGTGGGGGCGGCACTCAATACTCTGAGGCTGACCAAGGATATCCTGCTTGAGATTTCAAACAGTTTGAATAATGCCTTAGATTTGGAAACTGTATTTGTGTATGACTTTGTGAATAAGGCAAGCACCCAAAAGCTTTATCACCAGTCATTAAGGAGCTTTGCAAGGCTCCTAAAGCACCAAAGCCTGATGAAAATAGGACAAGCTGACTTTCTGGAGAAATCTTGATATGTCAAGCTCTGCAAGAGGATTTGAAGATTGCACTATAATCAAGAATGTACAGTAGAATTACTGCATGTAGCAGTGTAGAAAAATTTTTCCTTTTGAAAAGAATTATAAAACTGTAGGTTTATTAATCGGAAAGTGGCTTACAGAAAAATATCAGATGTGTTCACATCACATCTTATTCCTTTTTTTTACATAGCCCTAATGCTTTGGTATTACTGTGTTTATAGTTATGTATTCCTTAGTTATAGCTCTGATATCTTTAATTTCCTAAGCAGTCTGTCTGGCAGCTGTGCACATCTGCCGTGCCTGGCTGAAGTATAGAGGAACCCATCAGCAGGGATGTGCAGCAGATACGACTTCTTCACATTTCCATTGTAAACTTTAATTTTGAATTGTTTATGCATAACAACTGTGGATTTATGTTGTAGTAGGCTGAAAGTTAGCCATCATTTGTGAATTCTGATTTAGATTTCTTACATATACCAGAAAATTGTTTTTAAAAGAAGAGCATAGAGAACATTTCTTGTATTCTGGTCTTTAACAAAGAACATTTAGTTTTGAAGAGTTTGGGGCAATTAATAGGGTGAGCCAAACATTTTTGTATTGAAAAAGAAATGAAACTTCTAGAAACTTTAATATTTTAAAAGTACTGCCAGTGCCTAGAGAATAGTACTATTTTTAGTTTAAATTATTTAAATCTAATGGGAATATTGAGAATTTTTTCTAAGTTTTATATCTATAAAGGCCTATATTTATAAAATTAATTGTAGCCAATATGCAAAATCCCTTTTTACTTTTACTACATAAAAGTAACTGGAATACATACCTAATAATCTTGGGTGGTTATTTAATAAATCAGCAGGTAGGTGGTATGTTTTAACAAATATTGTATTTTCTAAAAAAGTAAATATTTGCAGTCATTAAACAAAAACCAATTCAATGTGAATCAGGAATTATAAGTATGGTTTTCTAAAATCCTTATTTGTCTTCATTTTTACCCTGGAGGTTTTAAATCTTCAAAGAGATGAGTTTTAGAAAATGTAGGATACAACTGGTTCTGTTTGTGTAACAGAATCTCAGTGAAATTTTTTTTGCAAGGCTAATACGGCTTTAATAAGATTTTACTGTTTCTTAAATTTTAAGTTTTGTTTGATGCCATTTAAATGTACAGGAATGTACTTTTTAGTAGAATTTCTTTTTGTTCAGATACCTGAGTGATTTTTAATAAGATTTAGCAATACTTAAATAGCCGATGTCACTAACATTTAAAAAACTGTTGGTTTTTTACTATTTTGATTTTTCAAATATATGGCATCTTTACCAATTAAACTGAAAAGTCTTTTTCAGAATGAGTTAAAAGACAGAAGTTCTGATAAGCAATTTACTGGTAATAAACATGGCAAATCCTGGGCGTTATTTATAAAATCAAGAAAATACTTTCTTCAAAGTCCAAATTTTGTGTATATCTCTGAATCTTAAGAGTTGATGGTTTTATTCATGATTTTGTAGAGTAAGTTATTTATGTATGAAAAAAATAGGAAAATATACGGGAAAATAATTATGTTTACGCAGAGGACCTTCATGTGTCACATTTCTTAAATGTAAACATTTTTTTTTTAAATTTTTTATTTTTTTGGTGCCATGGATTGAACTCCGGCCACCAAACCGCTGAGCTAAATCCCAGGCCCTTAAATGTGAATATTTTTAATGCACACTTCAGTAATATTTGAGGAGATAAAATAAAAAACTGAAGTGTCACATATGTGTCAGTCACAAAAATAAAGCAGTTTGGTGATTAAAAAAAAGAATTAGTACAGCTGGGCGTGGTGGCACATGCCTGTAATCCCAGCACTTGGGAGGCTGAGGCAGGAGAACTGCTGTGAGTTCTAGACCAGCCTGGGCTACATAGCGGGTTCCAGGGCAGTCTCAACTACATAGTGAGACCCTGTCTCAAAAAAACAAAACATGCACGCGGGCGCGCGCGCGTGCACGCACACACACACACACACACACACACACACACTATTAGGGGCAGGGAATTTAGCTCAGTGGTACCCAAGTTCGATCCCTAGTACTGCAAAAAAGAAAAATAGAATTGTGTGAGTATAAAAAGCATACTTATTCACCTTAGATTCTATTGAAATATACAAATTACAAAGTAGAATACAGAGTATGCTGTCAGCTTTATAGAGCCCAGACAAAAGATCGGAAAGTTATAAACCAAAATATAAACCAGATAGACTAGCAGTAGTTTTAATTTTCTTAGAAGGAAAGTGGAGAAAATATAAAATCTCCAGAAGCCTTTCTACCTAGAGCAGAATCAGTCTTTATAAAGTATAAAGTGAACTATCAAGGCTGACTCTGCAAAGGCTGGAATCTAAATGAGAAATGTTTCCATGAGTAGCTAAGACTGTGTGGGCCTTCTGCATGCAGGGATTTGACATGGAATCCTGTAGTAGATCCATTTGAACCACTAAAACAATCTGGGGCACATAGGAAGTGCTTCAAATTTTTTGATGAAAGAATATCCTAGGTTCGTGTGTAGGGCAAGGCAGTTTTCCTTTTGAAGGGTGGAATGCCACAAATTATAGCATACATGAATGGCTGCAGAACAAGTGATTCTGCTGGAACTACAATAGAAATATCCATAACGATTTAAAGAAATGCATGACTTTGTTTCCCTCCAGTAGTTAATCATGAACCTTCTACCACTGTCTACCTCCCTGTGCAAAACACAAATGTTAGAGTATCCAGATGGGAAAGTCTGATCCAGGGATTGAGTGATTTGTTCCTGCACAGAAAGATCAGAGAGGAAGTGTTTTGTAGCAGCAGATCAGGCTAGATGATGGCCTCATGGCATGAACTGCTACAAAAAAATTTACTGGTTGAAATCCTAAGTATCACTGAAGAGGTCAAATGTTAGGTTTCAAATCATGACCAAAAAAAAAAAAAAGGAATCTAAACAAACCCACACATATATGGCGAATTAATATTTGGCTGTGCCAAGAACAGAAAGCATACACAATGGGAAAAGGATGGTGTCTTCAATTAAGAGCACATTTGCCACTTGTCCATGGCTGAGACAAAATGCCCGCAACTCAAAATATAAGAGGTTTATTTTGTCTCACACTTTTTGGGAGGATACAGTGCATGGTCACTTGGCTCTGAGGCAGAAATAGGATGGCACAGGGGCATGGCAGAGGAAAAGATGCTCTACCCATGGCAGCCAAGAAGCAGAACGTGAAAGGAGGAGCCTACGAGGCAGCTAAAATCTGAGAAGTCACTCCTCAGGGACACAGCTCCAACCAGAGCCACCTCCAGGCTACACAACTCATCAATGGAGAAGCCTACAACCCCATGAGCCAGTCGCCTTCCAAACACACTGAGGGACATTTTACATCTAAATCTAAAGGTATTTGGAAAACTGGACATACACATGCAACAAAAATTAATCAAGAGGATTAAAGACTTAAATGTAAGACTAGAAACTGAAACTCAAGGAGATAGCAGACAGATAAAGCTCCTTGGCACTGGTTTGGGGAGGAAATTTTGGATACGACACCAAAAGTTCAGGCACCCAAAGCAAAAATAAACAAGTAGGACTCTATATAAAAGAGCTTCAGCACAACAAAACGAACAAGCAACCAATGAAAAGGGAAAAAAAATTTACAAATCACTTATCTATTAAGTGATTAATATTAAAATTACTACAGGAACACATGTAATTCAATAGAAAAGAAAACGAACAACCCAACAATAAAATGGGCATTTTTCTAAATCAGGCATAAAATTGACCAAGAGCTACACAAAAAGATGTTCGACATCACTAATGAGGGAAAAGCAAATAAAAAAATGCAAGAAGGAATCACTACATACCCCTTAGGCTAGCTATCACAAAGTCCAAAGGTAACTGTTGTTTTTCTTTCACTTCTTTCTTTGGCACCAGGGATTGGATGAACTCAGGTCCTTGTGCTTGCCAGGCAGACAGCGGAAGCAATGAGCTAACTCTCCATCTCCAAAGGTAACTGTTGTTTACACTGTGCAGAAAGTAGGTTTATAAGCTGGAACAAACATGAAAAAAGCATGTAAGTTCTCCAAAAAACGAATCCAGCAATTCCACTTGAGTATTCATCCATACCCTTTTATTTATTTACTCTTCAAAATTTGGACAGGTTCTCCCCAAATTTCTAATCCCAGCCCTCTGAGAGGATGTGATAGGAGGATCACAAGTTCGAGGCCAGCCTGCTCAACAAAGGGAGACACTGTCTCAGTCTCAAAATGAGAAGTTATAATAAGGGCTGAGGATGTAGCTCAGTAGGAAGGCCCTGGGTTCAATCCCCCTACCCCATTGTCCCTGGTGGTAAAATGGACAGAACGGGAGAACATATTTAATGAAATAGGCCAAAGAAATGAAGTTAAACGCATGCTCCCAGTTATAGGTGAAATCGAAACCATTCACATCCATGGTAATAAGGGAATGTGAGGTGAGGGGAATGGGGAGATACAGCGAACAAATATAAAGTCTCCCACGGGAAGAAAAAGTTTTGTTGAAATCTATTGCACAACATGGTGAATACAGTTAAGAATAGGGAAATGGGTACATTTCAGAATTGCTAAGAGTATCAAATGTCCTCACCACCGAAATAAACTTTTAAGATGATGCAGGTATTAGCTCATGTCACAAATCACAACACTCTGCACCCCATAAATGTACAAAGCTACTGTCGATTTACAATGAAATGCAAATAAAATCGGAGAGAAATATTTTACTAATCTGACACCTCCACAAAATTTCAAAGCCACAGATACACTCTGTTCTGTGGCCCTTTGCACAGCCACAAACCAATATACCACAGGCCCCTAGAATCTGAGGTCACTCCGGTTGAGAATGCGCGTTCCTGGGAAAAGTGACTTGGTCATGGGCACGTAACCAATTTAGGGGCTAAATTAAATCTAAACCAGAGGTCAGAAACTCGGTCTCGAACCAACTTGTAAACGGCTTTTACGGTTGTCGTCTCGGTCCTCCCCCTCTCCCTAAGGTACAGCTACCGTTTAAATAAAGAACTGAATGAAAACCCAGGTCTTCACGTCTCTGAGAAACCAACCCGGATCACTGTGAGCAGGACGGAGGGGCGCTCTGCACCCCGGGCCTGGGGTTCAGGCAGCCTGGCCCCGCGCGGAGCCCAGTGTGAGACCCTGCACCCCGAGGTCCCTGCACGCAGGCTCGCGACCCTCAAGGAGGCGCAGGAGCCCAGTGAGACCCTGCACCCCGAGGTCCCTGCACGCAGGCTCGCGACCCTCAAGGAGGCGCCTCCCAGACTCACCCCGTGCTACCTGGGCGTTGGGGACATAAATCCCGAGGGGCCTTGCGGAGCGCGTAGCTGGGGCGGCGGATTCCGACCCTCTCTCCGCGAGCGCCCTCAGGCTCAGGAGACCTCGTACCAGAGACCTCTTTCCGCTCACCGGCCGGGCCTGCGGGGCAGAGAGGCAGGGCGCGAGTACCCGGGCTGAATGCGACCCCGAGCGCCCTGGCGGTCCGCCCCGGCCCCGCGATCGCAGCCGCTTCTTCGGGACTGTAAAACCCCCAGTCCTGAACGCCGGACCACGACTCCCCGCGCGCTAAAGCACTCCAGGAGCTGAGGCTCTGAGGACCAGTGGGCCCAGCCGCCCTTCACGCGCCCACCCGCGAGCCAATCGCATTATCACGTCTCCTCATTCACGTGACACGCAACCACCAATGGCTGTCTGAGGCTGCCCTTGACAGACAGGCGGATCCCGGAGTTTTGGAATCGGCGCGCGCGGCCCACGGATGCGGCATGCGCCTCGAGGGGGCAGGTGTCTGCAATACCTACGTGGGCTTGGACACCCGGAGGTCCTAGGATGGAGGCTGCCTCACTGTGCAGGGGCAGAGCAAGGCGTGTCCTGAAGCCGCAGGGGCGGGATTACGCGGGTGCGCCTTTCCCTGGCAGTTTCCTGCCCAGGTCTTTCTGCATCCTAGTCTTCAACTCGTCCCAGGAATTCCCCAGAAATCCTTCCAGGAAAGGAGTGCTTGGATTCAGCAAGGCCCAGCACTTCACATGGTGGCTAATGTTGTTCTGCCTGTAAAAGGAACCTGCAGAGTACAATATCCTAAACCGTAAGCATATTTTTCTCTCTTCATAAAAGAGTGTTAGGCAGTTACCGCAGGTCCCCAGACTCTGCTCTATCATCCTTAAAGCTCAGCGCCAGTCCATAAATTTACCTCGTGGAGCAAACTAATAATTGACGCCCCAGCTATCCTGCCCTTATTCCAGAAAGAGCCTTTATGGAAGTCCCACCCAACAACCTGTACCTGTATCTTACAGCGTCCAACTTGCCCATTTGTCCTCATCTAGCTGGGAAATGAAGCCTTCACAAAGGCATATTGCTGCCCTTAATGACATCCCATTGTAAAAAAGACAGAACAATCTGGACAGGGAACTAGCAATTTCTGCTTCCTCCCATTTTTTTTCCAACTTTGCAGGAGGCCCTGTTATGTCACCCAGCACAAGAAAAATAAGTCCTTCCCCAATGTGTGCAGAACAACTTACTAAGCAAATACACACATTGGTAGCCCCTGTGCTGGATGCTGCAAGGCCATTATTACTGACTTCATGATACAAATGACACTGGAAGATACAGATGGTGACTGTATGGAGCTTGGGTACACCACAGTGGTCTTGCAGTGTTATAACTACATGGAACTAAGGATTATAATTCTGTGGATTAGTCAACAAAGACTGTCTTGTCTAAAGCCAAGAATAATCAACAGACGTGAAGAGAAATCACTACTTTGTAGCTCAAGAAGCAGGTCTCATGTCATATGCCAATACAAAAAATGTCACATGAGTACATCAGTATGGCAATATTCAGAAACCATCGTTGTTCATGACAGAGTAAGAGGATTGAAGAAGTTGATTTGGAATTTGTCTTATCACTATGCAGGGGAAAACTGTGCCCACTATTAGGTTTTTTATAACAAGCAATGGATTTGGTTTTATGCATCTAATAAACAGTGCCCACTGTCCACTCATGCTACTTTAAGCATCAATTTGTGTGGCAAATGACACATTGCCCTATCCAGTCTAGGAGGAGCCAACACACAATTTGAACGCAGAACTATATGTGTAGTTTGTAAGAGCAGCCGATCTAGAAGGGAAGAAGGAAAAGATGTATCTGAGAGACTTTCCAAAGAGGTAGGTGATCACTGAATTGAATCTTGAATATCAAGGTTGACAGGATCAAGCCAAGTAAGGGGAATAGTGACATTAGCAGAGCAATCAGTAATATCGGGAAAGAGGGTAGAAGAACATAGTGAAGGGGCAGGCAACATCCTGTTGTGAGACATCATATATTGCTATGTGAGGGATCCTTTGGCCACTAGCATCATTCCTTTCCCTTGTCTATGGGGAATGACTTCTCCTTGTGCACAGTGTTTTATGTGGTCTTGGTGTACCATTAGTAAAATGCCTTGTGCTGGCCCAAGTGTGGATTGGTATGTGACTTGCCAACTGGATTGTCTGCCAAGAGTGAGAGAGAAGGCAGTGATGCAGGAAGTTTGAGAGAGTGTTTAAAGTTCTCCAGTGGGGTGAGGGTTGACTTTGAATTCATTAAAAGAGTATTCTGAGATTAGACGGAGTGCTAAATCTACACTAGAGATCAGAGGTGTGGCAGTCAATACCCTGGAGTCTTCTTAACTTCATTTTCTCATCTTACAATTGGATATAGATAATATATTTCAGTCACTTGAAAGAGATACTCTATATTAATGATATCATTTCATAACAAAAGGACTAACTGCCTAGTATTTTAAATGAGCTTTGCTTTGAGAAATCCAAATGAGGTAGATGTTAGTTCTCTACTGCAATTTGGGTGGATATTCCACAAAGAGTTTAATAATATGTGCAAAAATCTTGTCTATTTTAGTGTGATTTTATGTTTACCTAACATGCTTCTTGGATTTTCAACTCCTTAAGGGAGGCCCTCACAGTCAATCTATATGAATATTTTTTCTACATTTCTTTGAACATTACTATAGTATTTTCAAACTTTTAGTCCATCCGGAACTTGTTCATACATTACTGTTTATTTCATGGTTAGATTTTTAGCTTACTTTTAAAAATTAACTCTGTGCACAAAGAATCAACAAGTGGGATCTGATTGTATTAAGAAGTGTTTGCAGTGCAAGAGAAATCACCAACAGAGCTCAGAAACAACCTACGATATGGGAAAAAATTTTTACCAGCCACTCCTCAGACAAAGGACTACTATCTAGAATATATAAAGAACTAAAAAAATCAGACCCTCCCAAATACAAAGACCTGATTCAAAAATGGGCATCCGAAAAGAACAGACATTTCTCAGATGAAGAGGAAAAAGCAGCAAATAAATATATGAAAAAAATGTTCCACATCACTGGTCAATTGAGAGATGCAGATGAAAACAACACTGGGATTCCATGTTACTCCGGACAGACTGGCTGCTATCAAGAAAACAACCAACAACAAATGCTGGTCGGGCTGTGCAGAGAAAGGAACCCTTCTCCATTGTTGGTGGGAGTGCAGACTGGTGCAACCATTGTGGAAATCAATATGGAGATACCTCAAAGAACTAGGCTTAGAAGTTCCATTTGACCCAGCTATCCCTCTGCTGGGTATCTTCCCAAAAGAATTAAAAGAATTACACCATAGTGATATATGCTCACCCATGTTTATAGGGGCACAGTTTGTAATAGCTAAAACTTGGAAACAACCCAAATGCCCATCAACTGGAGACTGGATAAAGAAGATGTGATTCTCCTATAAAACGGTGTACTACTCAGCCATAAAGAGTGAGAAACTAGAAACATTTATAGCTAAATGGATGCACAATGAGGCTATACTCCTAAGCGAAATAAATAGGATGCACTTGAATAAATACTGAATAGTTTCTCTGGTGTGAAAAACTAAAAGTGTAAATAAGGTTCAAATGGTATAAGTGGGAGTGTGAAATAGGAAGAAAATGGCTGAAGGGGAAGTGGGAAGGAGAAGAAAGGAAATAAGGGAAAATAAAAAATGTGAAAAAATGAAAAAGTGGCAACAAAGTCTTTGTAAATAGTGAAGGGGGTGAAGGGAGAGGCAGGGATATGGGGAAAAAACAAGAACCAAGATATGTCATTTAAAGATAGAAGAGCCAATGATAAATGTAACTATTGTTTGCTTTAAATATACCAATAAACTTAATGAAAAAATTAAATCAGTATTTATTCATAAAAGCTACAAAGTAATGGTTCATTGGATGTTTCATTCTTGTATTCTTATGTAATATTTAAGCATATCTGCCTCATTTATCATTTCTTTATGGTAAACTTTTCTAAACTCTTCTGCCTGCTTGAAATGTGCATTACTGTTGTCTATAAAAGCACATCGATACTACCTCCTAACTATAACCTAGTACCCAGACTCACTAGTATTGTTCAATAAGTATTATAACCTGATACTTATTTAAATCTTACACAGCTTTGAATAACAGACTACCATAAACCTAATGGTTTAAAGCACCACACACACTCTGTCTCACAGTTTCAAGGCCCATAAATTCTGTCACTACTTCTGTTCCTAGGCCACAGTCTGTGTATTGGTCAGGGGTTCAGTCTTATCAAAGGCTTTACTGAAGAAAATTCCATATCCAAATTCTCTCAGTTCATTGAAACAGTTCCTCTTGTGGTTCCACTCTGAGCCATTTTCTTACTGACTGTGAGCAGTGGGCTGAGTATCTTTAACAATGTTTAAATATCACCACAGGTGTTAGGTTGTTTCAAAAGTTTGGTTAGTACAATCTGTTACAACAATGAATATACTCATTCATAGTACTCTGTGACTTCTATTTTTTAGGGTAGTGCCTAGAAGCGGAACTATTATATGGTTTTAAAATCCTTTTTAAAAAATTGCAAAATAGTCATTTAACTAAGCCCATTTAAACTTCTAAGAATATATGAAACTGCTGGTTTGTACATGTGATTCCCCATCTTTGGCATTATCCATAAATTTAATTTTGGCTAACTTTTATGGGCAAAACATATTCCGCTGTTTTACTTTGTATTTCTTTTGAGTACTGAAATCAAACACATTTACTGAACATTGTTTCTGAATTGTCTTTACTTTTGCCCATTTTGCGTCTGTAGATGCACTGTATATTAAGTGATCTTTGTAGACTACAAACCTTTTTTCTAGTTTATATGTTTGTGTAATATTTTTGTTATTTTGTATCTGGGATAATTATCTTTATGCCTGATAATTGGTCATATAAAGCTGTTAAACATTTTTCTAAAGTCATGTGAAAGGTTCTTAATGCTTTTTTGTTTTTGATGACATGCATAGAAATGCTTTTCTCACCTAAGTATGTGAAATCATCCATTTTCCTTCTAAACATTGTGTAGTTTTATCTTATATTTATCTTTATATTTAATTATTCTGGAATTAATCTGTTTTAAGAGAGATGGGTTGATTTAATGACTATGTTGTTTTGAAATTGAGTTATTGTAAATGGATAACCCTGTTTTTAAAGTGAGTACCTTGTTGCTGTAATTTTATGGGGAATACAGAATTATGCAATGTTTTCTTCATTGTGCAGTTTTCCAAATTTTTTTTTTACCAGTAATGTATACTTTTTCCTGAA